GAGAGTAAAAGCAATGACACCTTACATTACTCATGTATAGTTATATGTATGTTAAGTGTAAGTAAGTTTAAGTTTGTAAGGTATCATCTGCTAAAAACAACAGTTAAAAGTAAATGCAGCTTCTGCAGCCGGTAATGGCAGCTGCACTACTACGTCCGGCGATTGCAGCACCCCGCCGCGCCCGGGCACGCCGAGGGACCAACTTGGGAATTAGTTTTCTTTATGGGCGTGTTTATTGTGCTCCTGCAAGGGGGGAGGCGCAGACCCGTGCTGCAGGTGCGCGAGAGAGAGAGAGAGAGAGAGAGAGAGAGAGAGAGAGAGAGAGAGAGAGGGGGGGAGGAGGGTAGGAGTGGTCGCACGCGTTTTACGTCCGTGTAGTACGACTACTTGCGACACATTCATATTCGCGTGTGGGTCGCGCTGCGGGTGCCGCTCAGCGCCACCTGGCCGCCACGTGGGCGTGGGCGAGGCACTTCCAGGCCCACCACCTCTAACGCCCCTGCTCTCTCTCTCACTCTGCTCTGCGAAAACTTTTGGCATTCTAGAGACTCAAAAGTGTCATTATGGAATGTGCCGAACTACGAGCTGAGGAAAAACGGCGTAATTTGCTCTTCCCAGAAGAGCTCACCTGAGATAGTGGCTTTTGCGCCCCGCGCTTTATATGGCTCTATAAACGCTTTCCAAAACCACATGCGCACTCGCTCGGAGAAAAGATGTGGTAATTACGCAATGCTTGCATCAGAGAGCGACTTTATTTTTATTGGGCGCGTGCAGGGAGCTATGAGTATGCACCCTCGAGGAACCCCCTCGCTTGTACGCAGCACGCACCACCAGGGCTGTTGCACGCGCGTGCGTTACTGCATCGTAAAGGGCACGAGTGCTAATCCCTACTGCGCCTAACGCAGCGGGCCCCGGCGGGTTAGACCTGCAGCATGCTGCATCGTCACGTCAGTACCATTGCAACTATGCAAATATAGTTCCTTCTTATCAAGGTAATATTGCATCATGGAGACGTGAAAGACGTAAAAATAAAACAGCAGAATAGAAGTAATTTAGAATCTTGTTACAAGAGGAGATAATGACAATCGTAATAAAGCGTCGTTTTATATGCCGTATTTTTTCAAGCAACTTATTTTGAATTAAGTCGAGAGGTGGCGCCAAACAGCAGGTCCACTTAATTTTTTGCAGAAATCAAATAACTTTAAGCAGGGGGCTTTAAAAGTAATCCCCATCCCTGGCAGCCACTTTCCGCTGTCACGACAACTCTTTCTTCTTCCTTGCTCCCCTCTGTGTTCCCTAGCCGTCGCTTTGGGATGGCCAGGGCGGCGGTGGCGGCTATGGTGGCGAAGACGGCGAGAGAGTTGTTGTCGCCGGGATCGATTTGCAATCTCGAACCAGTCAGAGGAATGGACTGGCGGTGGCGTAGCGCGGGCGCGGGATGGAAATATTTTTTTCTTCCATGATAGAGCTCCCCTTAAGTGCGACAGCGGGTAGCTGAGCGCCAGGCTCCTCGCGCCGTCTCTCTCGCACTCGCGGAGAGCCTGCTACCCGGGCTGGCCGCGGGCCGTCCCGCCGGGAGCCGGGCAGAAAGTAATCATTTAAAGTTGGCCCGCCTGTTGTCTGTCTCCGTCGCACGCGGGCGACAAAACGGCCGAGAAGGAGCGGAGGGCGGGGCGGGGCGGTCGCGGGGCTCGCCTCGCTCCGTCTTTGTCAGACCGCAGCGGGAGAGGGACGGGCCGGAGGAATGAAATCAAAGAGCACGTCCCAAAAAGTTCTCTTTGGAAGTGTCCGTAAGCTGTGGGTGGGAGAGATAGAAAGAGAGAGAGAGAGAGAGGACAGAGGGGGGTAGGGGAGGAGGGGGACAATGAAGGATGTGAGCAGCTGGAGGAGAGGAAGAGCGAGAGCGACAATGAAGAAAGAAAAGGGGATGAGCCTTTGGGGCCCTGGGGTAGGGTGGGGAAGCCGAGTCGCGGGCGCGCGGGACCCCCCCCCTCCCCCTCTCTCCCCTTTTCCCTCCCTAATCCGAGGGGCCTTTTTTCACCCCCGCCCCCTTATGATGGGGTTTTACTCGCCGTGTCCGGTCACCGTAGGCTCACCGTATCTAAGTTGGTAAATTGCCTCTCAGTGGATCTCGGGGAGGAGGAGGAGGGAGAGGGAGGCGAGGCGCTTGCTCGCGCCGCCCAGCGCCACGCCGCCGAACCTGACCCTCACTCTTTTTTCCCTCGTGTGGCCCGGGGGCCGCGGTGGCCCCGGGGGTTAGAGGAGGAGAGGGAGGAGGAGAGGGGGGGGGGGGTCTCCCACTCCCAAACCAGGCCCACCCCGACCTTCATTATTGCTGACTAGTCGAGCCTTTCTTTTCTTTTCCAGGACCAGCAGCAGCAGCCTCGACCCCGACCGACCCGACCCGCCGTCCGATAGCAGAAAATTTCCTTCATTTGGCCGAAAAGAGAAAGCGAGAGAGAGGGAGGTGGATGACGCTTCTATGGAGGGGTCACGCGCCTGCTCCTGCTCCGTGCTGTCGCCTAAGGGTATGTATGCATATTGACAACTGAAGGGGGAGACATTTTTTTGTGTATCGCAGTACGTAATGCGACGGGGCCACGACCTTCGTAATCCTGCGTACAGATGGAAATGTGAATTCTATGTAATCCGTGTATTATACGTAACCAAATTTGAAAACAATATCACTTAATTTCATCTACTTATCCTAATCAAATGGTTTCAGCCGCAAAAATTTAACAAAATTCATGTGTTATTCCTTAAAAATTCACGTGTAATTCCTGTAATCACGTAATCCTATGTACATCCTAAATTGAAGTGGTGGCCCCCTTTGACGTAATGCATGACAAGCTTGACGTGACGCGCAGCCTCACTTTACAGAGAGTGAGTCTACTACATTAACACTTCGGTGCCATGGCGTAGAAGCCACCGTGGGAGGCGAGGGAAAAGCAGGTGAGGCTTCCAATTTTGACGCTACGAAATAAGGGGGTCTTTTCCCTCTAGGTGAAACAGCAAATTGGGAAGGGACCGGAGGGCAACTACCGTAACTGTGATCGCAGCCCTGGCGAGTTACGTGGCTGGCGGCGCGTCCTCGAGTCTAGAGGTGAGGCGAGACGACCGCTTCAAAGCGAAATAAAGTCTGGCCCTCTCCTCCGGGTACTCACTCTCCCCGCTGCAGCGGCTCGCTCTCTCCCCTTCCTCTCCCAGAGGTCACCGTGCTCGAGTATCGCCAGAGAAATGGGAAAACCGAATTACCCATTAAAGCGCGGGTGAGGGTGGGGGGTGGAGGGATGCAAAAAAAAATAATCTCCAGAGCTGCGGAGAAACGCAAGCGAGCGGGCTAAACCACTGCGGGTATTTTCTGTGGCAACGACCCCCGCACTCTGACAGCACGCTGCCACCGGCATGCCCGTCAGCCAAAACACGCAAGCATTATTTATTTTTGCTTATGCGGTTTCCCAAGAGGAGAATGAGACCGAGACACTTTTCCGTTGCAACTTGAAAGTTTAATTCTGTCGGGATTTTGGGGGGATCACTTTGGAGGATCATTTTTTTTGAAATACTAAATAATGCCGGGGAAAGTCAAGCGCTTGACGTTCGCCGCGAAGTAGACTGACCCGCATGGGAGATGTGCACAGCGGGTTGCCTATCCGGGGTGGGTAAGGCGCTTGCATCCTTGGAAGCTAACTTAATTTGAATTAAATAAAACCATTTTCAAAACTGAACTGGAAGCCGGGAGCTCAATATAAACCACGTGTGCAACCAGAAACACTTAATTTTAAACTTACAATTTTACGACTATCTATTTTGAACACTTGCAAGTGTTCACGACGGTCGTTGTTTGTGTAGGCAGTGTCACACTACTTATCAGTGTTAACCGGGTTTACCACTAGGTTTATCAGTGCGGAGATTAGTCCCGGACCTTTTCGAGTTCCACATAACACGACGCTCATCCCCCTTTCCGTCCCCTTTCTCTTTC